GGCCACATTTGAAGCAAGAGAAGCCACTCGGTGCATTCTTTCCTGGGCCCGCACTAGGCAAGGGAAAGGTAGATCTAGACTGTTGCGGTTGGGACTGGAATGAAAACGTGTTCCTGCTCTTCTTGTTAGGCCTATGGCCTTTGACCCCTCGACCTTGACCCCCGGATTCTCTCCTCCTTAGCCTCCACAGTAATCTCTACATGTGCCGCCACTTCTACCAGTCGGTTATAGTTCCGGATCATGCTCCTGGCAACCTTGAACAAGATCTTGGTTCTTAGTTTCTTCTCAAATTCTATGCAACGGCGCTCTTCCGTTGCCACCAACTCCGGTGCAAATCGGGACAGACTAGTGAAGGCCGCCTCAAACTCGGCCACAGATAGGTTAAGTTGGTTGAGGTCTTGAAACTCTTGCCTCAACCTCTCCTTAGCAGTGGGAGGTAGATACTTGTCTTGGAAAGCAACCACAAAGGCTTCCCATGTTGGCTCTACTTTACCCTTGGCGTACTTCCACAATTGACCCACGTCCCCCTTGACGTAGTACTCGCTAGAGTCACCCTTAGCTCACTATCTTCAATGTGAAGCATCTCAAATGTCTTCACCGTTTGCTCGAGCCACTCATCCGCTCTCTTGGGCTCGGGGCCACCATGGAACTCATCTAGTTTAGCTCGCAAAAACTCTCTAGTAAGGAAACTCGCTCTTGTCTCTACAGCATTCTCTTGGGCTTGCTTCTTCGTCCTCAACAAATTCATTGATTCTCTCAAAGCCCCTGCCATTTCTCGGGTTAAGGCCCTCATTGCGGCTTGATCTGCTTGCCCCGAAATCCCCGCTTGCCCCACTTGCTCGGCCATATTAGCTTGGTCCGCTTGGTCGGTCGCATCAGCTTGGCTGAACCTTTCCTCTTGCACCGGAACCTCATGGACCGATACTTCATGTACACCTCGGCGAGATCTACTGTGCTTCCCGCCTCTACCACCACAGGCTTGACCCCTTGTTGACATCCTAATTAAGGAATAAAGTGAACAATTTAGCACATAACCTCAAATGTGCCCACAACTTGCCTCACACATTTGATCACAACAATCCCATATATCTTTCGACCATATAACAAGTTAGCTTCACTCCACATAAGCACTTAGTCACATAAACACATACGAATTATGCTTTTACGATGAAATTCGTCCCATGAAATACCAAGAATTCTTACTAGAATGAGTATTGATCAAGTACCTTCTAATAAGACCTCAAGTAATGTAATAGGCGTGAACCACATCCCAAAAGTCTAACCCCATACCCATCATGTTATCACATAGCCACAAAATATATAACATCTCCTAATCATGCAAAATGAACCCATTGTGGCAAGGCAACCACTTCCCACGAGGTCCAAGTATTCAAACCTGGTAGCTTTGATACCAAGTTGTAATGCCCCAAAAAAAATACACAATAAAGTACACCAACCATCACTACTTATGATAAACCAAATTAAATCTCCAACACTTGCATTACATGAATCAAAGAGATTTTTACAAAATAATCCCACATGCGAATATACATTCAACGATTTTTAGTACATGAACTTATAGCATGTAGAACATCCAGTCAAAAGTAAATAAATGCCTTGAAGGCTACAAAGTCCAAGGCTTAAGCCTGGTTGCACAAAATGGTTGCTTGAACCCATAAAATTAAAGCCCTTGGCTTGTAAAAACATGATCACAACAAAATAAGAGCTCTATGCTCTCAACATACACATCCATGTTCTAGTTTGGCAGAATCATCACATCCTTTCCTGCACCGAAATCCCATCGGGTGAGCATAAAGCCTAGTAGGAAATTCTTAATAAAGTATATACATTTTTCACAAGTCTCATGAATTGAAATGTGCTTGCCATGCTATGCCCTTTAAAAAAAAATCACGTTACCATTTTTTTAAAAATTGTCATGCTCAATGAAAACTGGGAAATTTAACAATTCAATAATTTTACATCAAGCTCAAGGGGCAGTAAATACGACTCAGGTAATCGCTAGGTTGGTGTCTGCAAGTACGCATAACTAGCACTACCAATCCCCCACTTTACCGGTAGCTAACCAGAAGGCACGTGGTACCTCATCCACGCGTGTTTTCGGTCTTTTACCATAGACACTCAAGCTAACTTAATCAATACCAAACTACACCCCCTATTCAGACTTACCAATGTATTTACTCCAAAAAAATTCAAGATGATCTTGTTTCACAAAACAATTCCTGTCTCAAAGCAATAGTTTTCAAATGCAAAATTTGAAATCAATGATAACGAAGATGGAATGGAATGGCAACGCAACATGTAACAATACATTAAAATAGTTTCATTTTCAATTCGACCACACAATCTTCCATTTCCCACATCACTTCTCAATGTAACATCATAATATATATCCTCCGAGGGATAATATAACAATATCATCATACATGCATTCTCCACCTATTAATCATCATTTTCAAACTTGGTCTTTTCAAGACAAACCAACAATAAGCTATTCATCAAGCTTCAAAATCAAACATTTCTCATTTTTTCATGAAATTCCTCATTAGATACATTTATAGAAATCCCTTCATCAATTATTCACTATAATAATTTATCAAGCATGAATTTCATAATAACTGACACTTTACCCAAAATCCCCAAACTTTCTAGGGTGTCCACCAAACCTAGATTTTCCCCATTTTGAAAGGATTTTTCCAAGAGAACACTCACACTTAACAACATACCTCATACTTTCAAAGTTTTAGGAAAGATATAAAGACAATCCACTTTCAAAATCATTTAGAGTTTCAAGAATCCAAAATCATAGTTCAAATGTAAGAGAAAGGTTCCTAACAAGCATAGACTTGCAAAAATATATATAACCCTAAGAATATCCCTACCTCAAGGTGGGGAGAGGAAAGAGAGAATAACCCTAAAATCCAATGTTTATGAAAACTTGATTCGATCGGTGAAAACGTAGCCCTCGTCCCTATTCGTTTTGATGTAAAAAGCCCTATCAAACTCTTGATAGTTTTTGCTAAATCTCAAAGAGAAGTTTGGGTTTGGGTAGGTTTATAGAGAGATGGAGGAGAAAAGATGAAAATATATATATATATATATATATATGATAAAGTGTGTAAAATACGTTTCTGGCATCAGTTTTGAGAAAAAAAAAAACTCAAAATTCGAGACAGACGCGTCGAAATCCGCATGAACAGTTCAAATTCCGTAGGAGCAAATTTCCAAATCCACACGACCGGATTCTCATGCCTCTCACAAGCGGTTTGAGCTACAGGAAAACCTAGAATTTTCAACAAAATCCGCACGAGCGGTTTTCAAATCCGCATAAGCGGTTTTCTGCCAAAATTTCTCAAAATCCCTGAGTGATTCTACTCGAGCGGTTACGAAATCCGCACAAGTAATTTTTCCAGCCAAAGCCAAAACTTTTGATTACACGCCCCGATATAAGTTCTAATGCCCAAAACTCAAAATTTCAACCCGAAAACGTTAAGAGATGTTAAATAAGAGCGAAATTGAAATCTCAATGACTCAATACAAGAATCAAAATGCTAGAAGTAAAACAAATCACCTAACTACGCAATACTGGTCAAGTCTAGGACCCAGGACATCACACTACCCAAGCCGTTACAAAAGAGTTCAAAATGTGGGAGGAACTTGGAAAGATTAAAAAAATCCCAAGGGTTCCAAAAGGTTTTTGAGTTTCAAGTCTATATCTATGCTATATATCACTGCAAAACATGGGTCTTTAGGATCCAGAACTCCAACTTTATTTTCTTAGAATTTTTGAATTTATAAAATATAACATGTCATATAACTATTGGTTTTTTCACTTTAAATGCAATTATTAATTGTTTAATCAATATATTAAAATCTTTTAATCATTGGCATATATAAGAACATTACCCACACATATGCAAGGAAATTAAATCACATTTGCAAAATATTATTAAGTTTTTAAGCCTTAAACTAGGGGGTCGACCAATCTCGGATCAGGTCAAGTTTGTATTATATAGTAAGAAGATATTTGTTATGTCAAACTCGGCCTGACATCGTGCTTAATCTAACCATTCCAAACCCGACCTTAAAAAGACTTCCAAATTTCAAGTCCACCCACTTAATTCAATAGATATAGGCCATTATTTATTTCTTTCCTTTAATATTTTTTCCTTGAAGGGATATTAAATTACTTAGATTACTTTAATCATTATCTGAATTCGAAACATTAATAAAATTCACTACAAGAAATTTTATTTTTGACGACTAAATTTTTAGTCGCCAAAAGTACAATTTTTAGTCGTCGAAAATTTTGCCCGACTAAATATTTTGGTCATTGGATTGGTCGCGGGAAGGTTGTCAAGGAAGGTATTGGCGACTAAAAAATATTTAGTCGCTAAAAGTCCTATAAATAGCAACTAATATTTTTAGTTGCCAAAAATAATATTTTAGTCGCCAAAAATTTTATTTTTCGCTACTAAAACTTTGGTCGCCAGAACTTGAAGTATCTACGGCGACTAATGTTTTAGTCACCAAAGGATATTTTTTTTCATCTTATTTTTTTTTATTTTTTTCATTTTGTTTTTCTTAGCTACTAAATTCTTTGTCACCTAAAGTTTGCTTTTATTTTAGCTACTAAATATTTATTAGCCAAAATTTTTTCTCCATTTTATTTTTATTTTTAACTACTAAATATTTAGTAACCAAAAGTTTTTTTTCCATTTTATTTTTATTTTTAGCTACTAACTATTTAGTTGCTAAAAATATTTATTTCATTTTTGGCTACTAATTGTTTAGTCGCCAAAAACATGATTTTATTTTATTTTTTAATTAATTTGTCTACAACATATATGTATTCCATGCAACCTGTATCATATATATATATATATATATATAAACAAAACAATACATCTATTATGAATCATTCCGCAATTTGCATCCATTTCATGTCCAACCATCCAAAAAAAATAACTTTTAATGTCAAATTCCATACAAATTAAGTATATTCCAATCTAAAATAATAATATTATTCCATACAAAACAGAGAATCAGAACAAAACATGTCCTCCGTATACAAATATATTCACTACCATGCCAAATATATTCTCTAAAGAAGATATCTTTATTGCTGTAAAGTGAGTTGATAATGATGTCCATAAGCCGAGACACCTCAGCCTAAAATTCAAACTTCTCTACATTACAGTGGAGTGATCTCTTCGACAAGTTTCCCTAAACCACATAATTTAAAAAAATTGAACTTTGTAAGCAAATAACTGCAGAGATGGATTGTTAAAGAATAAATAAATAAATAAATTCAATGAAGATACCTTTGGCTCTTGGAATTGTAGCAGCCCTACATATCCATACAACAAAAGAAAATAAATTCAGCCAACCGCTACATTTGCGCCTTCCTCTGCATTTGAATTTAAAAACTAAAACAAACTAGGTCTCGTTTGGGAACATGCTAATTTAGTAACTTTTTAGCTATTTGGCTAAAATATGAGTTAAAAAAAACTAGTATGTTTGGGATGACTTTTTGGCTTTTTAAGAAAAAATGTGTAAAAAGTAGAGAGAAAAGAGAATCTTTGATTTTTTGATATGTGTTGTTGGCTTTTTGATTTTTTTTGTGACTTTTTGACTTTTTGGCTAAAAAAATCGCTTACCAAACGAGACCTAAGACTACATAAAATTTAACTCATAAACATTGAAACTTGATTTTCAAGATTTGTTACAGAGCAATGGACCTCCCTCCTAGGTTCATGATTAAACAGCAATACACTACACACTCAATATGTCTTTAAACCAAAACTTTTACCAAAAAAAAAGAGGACAAAACTATGTAATTCTAAATGGGTGTTTTATGTACTACCGCATTTGGCTTTATAATGTAAAGTTTGCTTCCTTACTTACTACTTAAAATTCCTAACAATCAATAAAATCCTGAAACAAAAACCATAGACATAAATGATAAAATCCCTAAATTGAAAGTAATTGGTTTCACAAAGCCTAATTTAGAATTATTAGTTACATGGCAAGTAATAGAATGTGAACCATGACCAGCTGAAGCAGAAAATTGAAACTGATGTTACTACTTCATTCTAGTTAACATCTTCACCAGATTTTTTGACAAAGGATCTATTATCTTTAATCCTAGACAGGCTCACAGAAAAATACATCTGGTGAATAAAAGAGAAAAAGATGTCCAAAACTATAATGTAATGTCAAGAATTCAAAGGACTGAAAACCATTCAACAAAACAATTTATTTCCTAAAAATTTCCAACCAATAAATATATCATTCATAACTTGGAACAAGTTCAAGTGCTTAACCTTCGAACAACCATATGATTGGTTACCCTGAAAAATAAAATCCAGATACAAGCAGTTGAAAGATCAAACTTTGGTAGATTTTATCAATTAAATCTCCATTTGTTGTGATAGTGCAATCATTTCTCTACAATCCCATAAAAGGAAATCATAACAAAATTATAAATAAATGAGTAAATAGGAATTTCGTTACTTGAGTCATCCTCCCAAAGAATGAAGTTGGAGTCAGTGGTTTCCCACCAGTAGCTTTCAAAGTCCTTTGAAGCAAAAACAACAACACAGAAGTATTTGATAGCCAATACACCATATGGGCATTGCTATCTTGATCCTGCAACATAAAATGCCTATGTATATACAATAAATAACATAGAACACATTGGATTTTATTTTCCTTTACTTAAAATTCAGACAAACATATGCATGAAGATAATTTTTCTTCATAACTTGATTGAAAATTGTGCAAGAGAAAATCAAAGTTAATGAATGATGCGGGTATTATTATCCAATAACCCTTACTTCGAACTCATAATATAAAAGACTATAAGATCAGCAACCCTTTTTATTAAAAAAAAAAAAAAGAAGTCAAAATGTGGGATATAACAAAGGTGGAAAACAAATGAAGTCTTATCCCACATTTAAAAGGGACAGTTACAGGGGGGACGAAGGACGGGGGAGGAAAAAAAAAAAAAAGCTTATTTAAGCCTAAGCCAAACGGGGACTCCTATTTTGTTGAGATAATGAAATGTGGCAACATATTGGAATAATTATTTGGGTGTTCTCAAGCTCTACAATAGAGTGATTTATGATTTTTTATATTCACTATGATCATTAAATAATTATTAAAATAATTAGTATAACCACATGACGAAGCAACCAATAATTGCATTGAACATGTAAATTAACTAGTAGAAACTAACTACTGTAGATAGCATGGATAACAGAGGCTATCTCAACAGTATCCTAAACAACATATGCAAACGGAACACAAAGAGATGGAGGTTAGTTCACAGTATGAGAAAGCAATCTGATTTCACAGTGATGTATAAAGTGGTGGATATCTTTGGAAAAGCAAAGAGCTAATACCCATATCCATCCAGCAAAAATCAACCAAAACAATCACCAGATTTATTAGTATTCATCAATAAACCTATTTAACATATTTCGGTTTTGACTCCATCTATGTACAGTGCATGTGGTGGATATTTTGAAGAGCAATCTTGACTCCAAAAGGCAAGCATGGAGTTAATTAACTTAATGTAATAACAGAACGTACCAGAGAAACTTATGGAAAGATAATAAAATGCTCACAGATTAGTGCATTTCAAATAGGTAACACAAGTCTTACCAATTCATTCCATCTTGTTGATCAAAGCTTTGCCCCAATTTGGTATCATAAACTTCATACAAATGAAGGAAGATCAAACTATACCTGATCAATAGCAGATGGCCTTTTTCCATGGTGGAAAGTTGAAATCACAATGGACATAGCTTGTACATGATTCATACTGACATTAAACTGATCTTGTAACATTCTAGCTCTCTCATCACACATGCTTGCAAGGGTTTCTTTCCTCTTCTCCATAGCTTGAGAGCTCATGTACCATGTTTTTCTCACTTCTCTTGGACCCAATATACTGGTAGTATTGATGGCGGAACTTACTCGTGATTTCTGAGATCATCTCCCAAAATTTCACCCAAATCCTTGTACCATCACCAAGAAACCAGTCTTGGTTTCCATGATTCCACCATTAATGAACCAATTCATGGAAAATCTACAGTGGTGGAGTTCATTTAGATAGATAAAATACCTATTACCATTTTTTTTTGGATACATCGGAAAGGAGAATACCTATTACCATTAGAGATGCTCTAACGATAAGGTTATGCCGAAGGATCAAAATATTCATTTGATCTTTATCTGTACAAATTGGGGAGAGAGTAAAAACAGCCCCTGTTTATCAAAAGCAGTGAACATTTAGAAAGTAAAGAGAGAAAGTAAAAGTCACTGAGTGAGGAGTGAGAGAAAGAGAGAGAGAAGCGGCAATGGTGAACGAATAAGTGAGAGAGAGAGAGAGAGAGAGAGAGAGAGAGAGAGAGAAAGATGACCTCCGTGGCATAAACTCGCTGGCGATGGCCTGTGAAGAGATCTATGCCACCACCAAGACATAGATTTGGTGAATTTTTCGACTCCACCCACGTTCCTCTAAAGAAATCTCGTACTCTGGTAATCGGCGCTATGTCGTCGGCATCGATAACTAAGGATGAGAAAGAAGAAGTGATTTGCAACTTGTGTGGCACCGAAGCTGCTGTCATCACCTTCTCCAATGCCGGCAACACCTTTGCCTTCGAAAACCCCTTCGTTGACTCGAGATCGAACATTGAGCTTTCGGTAAAAGAACAAGGCCTATTCGATCTCTTCAGATCACAAAGATCTTGACGGACGCGAAGGAGACGATGCAATAGTTCCTGTCGAAGTTCATCAATTTCATCATCGGCGAAAGAGAGGTAGTGGGAGGGAGGCGGGTGTAGGTGGTGGCGTCACTGCCGGAGACGAAGAAGGGAGGCGGCGGAGAAGGGAAGTCATGGGAGATGGTGCGATTAATGCAATAGTGATGGTTAGGGTTAGGGTTAGGGTTAGATTTGGAGAGCTTTTTGGGAAGGGGATTGAGAGGGTTTGGAGTGTTGCGAGCTAACACTACAAGGGGAAGAGAGAGAGAGACTAAAGAGAGAGAAAGATAGGCGCCAGTTTGGGTTTGAAAACCAAATATATATATATATATATATATATATTATTTATTAGCGACTAAATATTTTGGTCGTTAATTAATTTTATAAATCTTTTCAAAATTTAAAAAGTTCCCTCCAAATATTTTAGTTATTTGGCAACTAAACATTTTTTAGTCGCTAAAAATAATTTTTGGTGACCAAACTTTTGGTCGCCAAAGATAAAAAATAAATGTTTGTTTTTTATTTGGCGACTAAATAATTTTAGTAGCTAAAATTAACTATATACAATGACTAAAATATTTTTTAGTCGCTAAAAATAAATTTTTGGCGACCAAACTTTTGGTCGCCAAAGATAAAAAGTAAATTTTTGTTTTTCATTCGGCGACTAAATAATTTTAGTAGCCAAAACTAACTACACAACTTCGAGTCTAATCTAGCTATCTCAAATTCAGTCCTAAAAACATTTTCAAAGCTCAAACTCGTCCACTTAACCAAATAGATATGAGCTATTAATTTATTTATTTTTTTTTGTCTTGAATGGATATTAAATTATTTAGATTTGATTTATTATTTAAATTTGAAATATTAACAAAATTCAATAATAAAATAAATATGATTTTTAACAAATGTTTTAATATAAACCTAAAATATATATACATTTTTTTAATTTTTTTTTTACTTTATTTTATAATTAAAATAATATAAAATTATAATTAATATATTATAAATAGACTGGCCAAGCCTAGTTGGGCTAAAACTTCTTATCTCAAGTCTAGCCCGTATTTTAAATGGGTATAAATTTCAACCCAGTCCGCTGTATGAGCTAAGTATTTTTTTCAAACCATAAACATATCAAGTTGGATTGGGTGAGCCATGGGGTCCATGGCCACCCTAGTTTAAACTTCCCATCCATTTTTCTTAGATTTTTTAGAATTCTATACCATTAATAACGATATCATAGTATTATTAGTCTAAATATAATTTATTATTTTCAATTAAATTGAATTCCGTTGCCATGTAAAAAAATAAATTAGTAATTTCAATTAATTACCATTAAATTTTTGCAAAGATTTGCTTTTTAAGATCTCTCTTTCAAATTTTAACCAAAATTATGAAACTAAAAAATGTTTATTGACAATAACAAATTAAAATTAAAATTTTATCTCGCAAACTCTTCTCTCTCATTTTCAATACTTCTTTTTCTTTTTTTAATTATTCTATATTTGTTTCAATAGAATTTTTCCTTACACTAATTGATAAATTTGAAGCGGTTTAACTCAGACTCAAAGTTCATTTCTCACATCATGCAGATGATGCTTTATTCATGTCAATTCGAGAGTTTGAAGGTGACTATTACTTTAATATATATAAATTTATTATTTGTATTAATTAATTGAATATCCAACCAAAATTCTGAATATTTAACTAAAATTCTGACAAAAGATAATAATTAACTTTTTTTGAACAATAATTATAAATTTGTTATAATTTATTGTTACTAGTGTTGAGGGGTTTGAAAATGGGAAGGGTTTTTCTCAAGTCTTTGCCAATTTCGGATTTGTAGCCTCACCGTGAACTCCACTTTGATGAACTAATCTGATTTTATAGGGCTTTACATAAATTCATGATGAAATAAACTAATTCAGTAATTATAATCATATAATTTCATTATATTTATATTTGAAAAAATAAACATTCTATTTTTAAAATGATTCTTGTTATTTATTTTTATATTTTTAAATGATATTTATGGGGCATCAGTCTAATATTTTCGCGAATAAGTTCCATGTATACGAACCTATCCAGTCCACTATAAATTAGATACAAGACCAGCCCCGTGAAAATATCCCAAACGTGTCATGCCATCATTGAGCTATCTACAAACGGGCATTTTTGTTGAGATTTGTTTGGCATGAGTTTTTTTTTTTTTTTAATTAAATCAAACAATAAAAATAAAAATATTAATTTAATTAATAAGATAAAATATTATATTTAAATTATAATTATAATTATTTTATTTTTTCTTTTATAACTATTAAATCAACTAAAAAAATTAAAATTTATTTTACACATAATTTTTTTAATCAAGCTAAAATAATATTAAAAAAATAAAAAATAAATCAGACTAAATTAGCTCAACTTGGAGGACTGAGAATTTTGAAAACAAAAATTTTCTATTGGACTATACTTGTTATAGCAACATATATATTTAGGGGAAAAACTCTATATTACTCACCCTAAAAAGTGTGCATCAATGTCTTTAATCATAACTTCTGTGAATTTTTATTATCACGTGGTTTGACTGATTTTATAGTATTAGTTATGATTTAGTTACGATATTTTTTAATTTGGTTATGATTAAAGAAATTTTTAGTTATGTCTTAAGTGATATTTAGTTGTGAACCTTGATTATGATGTATTATGTGATGTTAGTTATGACTCAATTATAATATGGGGTTGTAATCTATCTATGTAGGGTTCTGTTTACGTGTGTAACCCCCTTAAGGTTGTACACCATATGCAATCGAATTGTTAGCCGTTAGATTACAATAATTGATCAAAATCATTGAATTGTTTAATCGTGAAAAAGTTGAAACCGGGGCAACCGGTTAATGCTTGTATTTGCATGATTGCATCCCACTCACTCTCTGTATTTTGTCTCTATCTCTCTCTGTTCTCTTCTCTATGTAAGATTGAGTCAGTGTAACCCTTGATTTCCATTAACAGGGAGAAGCCCCTGCTGGGTTGGTTCCATTGACGAATCTCTTTAGGGAACAGTATAACGGGCAATTTACAACAACAACGGAACTACAAGGCTGTGTTGGTTCCATTGCTGAAGTGAAGCCCGTCTCGGCAACTAGATATGAGGTATGGAGCTGTCTCCCTCTCTGTCTCTCTGGCCTCTTTACTTCAGCTATTTTCCCTCAACTAAACCCTCATCCTAATTTCAACCACTCTACGCTTCGCTCAAACGGAAACCCCTCCATTGGCAACTAACCTTTCTCTTTCTCAAGCAAGTGTTTGTGTTCGCACAAACCACTAAACCATGTGAAAAATGTCATGTTTGTGTTTGTGTTAACATTTTTCGGTCATCAAGTAATTATTTGTACTAATGTCATGTGTAGTATGGCCCCAGCGGAAGTTAAAAGGGAAGGTGGTGATTATGACATTGCAAATGAAGCAGATGACATTCGTTTGATGAATGAAAGTCGGGCGGAACCTTATCATGGTTGCGAAGCTGGTCCGAGCAATGACGAAGCAACCAACATGAACGTTGAAGATGGTGGAGCCGATGTGAAAAAAGAAATGGTTGACGATGCTCATCGCAATGACATGGTTGGTGATGTTGAACGTGCTATTCTGGAACAGAAATTTGATTCGGTCGAAGATGGAGAAGCTTTCTACAATGCGTATGCTAAAGCCAAGGGATTTAGTATACGAAAATCCAGATTTAACACAAATAAAGAGGAAAAGGTCGTTAGTAGGCTGTGGTTGTGTTCAAGGAAAGGTTAGAGATTACCAAAATACTTGGACCGTGTTGCTGAGCAGAGTAGAGCTCCCAAGGCACTAACAAGAGTAGGTTGCAAAGCCCAATTTCGCGTACGGTATGACGCAGATGATGGTGAAGGGGGAAAGTATGTTGTGACTCACTTTGCCGCAGACCACAACCATGAATTGGCGGAACAACACTGTGTGATGTATCTGAGGTCACATCGCAGTTTAAACAGTGCTGACAAAGCTTAAGCAATGGCTATGCACAACGTCGGTGTGAAGACTAGCCAAATCATAGACTATATGGTAAATCAATCCGGGTCTTATAAGAATGTTGGTTTTATCCGTACGGATCTGCACAACCATATTCAAGCCGAACGTAGAGTAGAAGTTGAGGATGGTGATGCGCAGGGTGCGTTGGTTTACCTATGTGCAAAACTTGATGTTGATGCACTTTTTTTTTACAAGTATGATGTGTGTAACAATAACAAGTTACAAAATTTGTTATGAGCAGGTTCGAAATCGCAGGCCGACTACGCAAAGTTTGGTGATGTGTTGATATTTGACTCAACTTACAGAACCAATGCATACAAGAAACCTTTTGTCATGTTGGCTGGTGTGACTAGCCACTTTAGGACCATGATATTTGCATGTGTTTTGCTAGCTAATGAGACAATTGAGACATACACATGGGTTTTGGAAACTGTGGGGGCCGAGAAGAGGGAGTCGTAGAGATTCCAGATAGTCAAATCTTTGAGAGTCGAGATTCGAAGCACTCGACAATTGGCTCGCAAGCTCAGATCCAACCCTATTTAGCCAAATAACCGATTAGGCAAGAGGCCGAATGAAGGTCGGTCTATTATAAAATGTGCCGAATATGAGTTGGACATAGACCTAATCCCGAGGCCCATGGAAGAAAAGATATAAATAGAAGAACATCAACCACAAAGAGGTATGTAAGAATTGTTGTGCTTAACTTAGAATACAAGCATTCTTGAGTGTGGATTCTAACTTGTCCGTCGAAGTGCTAATTCTGGCACCCCCGACCAGAGTGTTTATTCCTTTTCAGGTGACCAGAAGGGTATCACGAGCGTTCTCCAGGATCTGAAGAGTATTTCCAAACCACTTCTCCACAATTGGCGCCGTCTGTGGAAATACTCAAGCACATCTATGGCGAGCGTAATGGAAGATCCTTCGACAGTCACTGTCGACCCTATACCGCAAGATGAAACCACTCCAACAAACATGCTTGGAACAGAGACTATCGCCGCAAGACATGCCTTGAATTTCTCCTCACCCTCGACTTCGGAGCATGAAGCAATGCAAGCGATCCTGCAACAAGCAAAGCAAAACGAACAAAGATTGGAGAACATGATCGTAGAGAACGAACATCTCCGTCAGGATTTGGCCTGAGAGGTGGCGAAGTCCAAGCAATCTGCATACCAAGGCCCGGGACGACCCGTGAGGGCAGCTGGTCAACGTTCTCGAGCCCGACAACGAGATACTAATGGCAA